ATATTTGGGCCCCCATCATAGATTGCCAGTTTAAGCAGCCTGGGCTCCAGAAGAATTTAACTGTCTTTACAAAAATAGTAAACTGGTAGTCTTGTTCAGAAACAATCACAGGCAGGGGCAAGGAGGCAATTAGAGATGTGCAACAAATTTTAAACTTGCCAGTGTTGCTCACATTCCACTTGAGAGGTTAAGAAAAGTAACGGCCTAGGAACCCCAACCTCACAGAGACTAGAGAGGCAAACATCTGACTAATAAAAATGAGTTGCCCTCCCATTAACTCTGTGCTTTAGGCAGGGATGTGCTAGAGGACTATAAATGCCAAGATCACAAACTCAAAAAAATTCACTCAGCCCCAATTGACACTTCCTCGTTGGTTGGACACTAGAAAGATTTCATTGGCAAGTTTAAATAGCTGCAATTTTATTTATTTTATGCAACATGCACTCTTTCATCATTGAAGTTAGAAACAATTGATCTTACATTGAGAAATTAGACTTTAAATTTCAATATGAAAGAATGAACTGGTCTGATTTTTTCCAGCATAGATGACAAACAGGCATCTGAAACATAGTCTAACATTGACTGTAAAATATCACGACTGTCATTTGACTCACTTGTGTGACAGTCTCCCAAATTTGACTCAAGCTACTCAGATGTCAGGAGAACTTTACAGAGTTGCTAGGGCATAGAATACAGTTTGTGCTTTCAGTGCCCAGGCTAATGCCAAGTCCTCTGTTCAATTTTATTCTTTTTTGATTTTTTTTCCAAAACCATTTGGTACAACTGAGTGTTTTGCTAAGCCTTTTCAAAGGCCAGTTAAAAGTTCAGATCCAGAATCACCTGCAAGCCAACCCAAATAAAGAGGTCATATTTCTTTTCCTAACAGGACTTTGAATTAAATGAATTTTTCCAACAATCTGATATTGTATTTTCCTAAATTGGTTTTCTTCATATCTTGAATTATTTTAATCTTATCGTACAATATAAACACCAATACTACGTTAGCAATAAAAAATATCCAATAGGATTTTCACTGAAAAAATTAGAAGATTTAAAAAAAAGTCTTGGTGAGGGTTTCTGTAATGGAATGGGTTAAAAGAGGCCATGATCTTTCATATTGAGATTCAAATTTCAATAGAAAGACTGCTGGCTACTAAGGTTTCATTGTGATAACACAGAGTGGAGCTGGAAGAACACAGCAGGCCAGGCAGCATCAGAGGAGCAGAAAAGTTGACATTTTGGGTCAGGACCCTTCTTCAGAAAAATAGCTGCCTGGCCTGCTGCGTTCCTCCAGCATCTGCAGTTCTTGCTATCTCAAAGTTTCTTTGTGGAATGTGTTTGGGCACAAGCTAGCCAGCTCCTTGCAAAGGAAGTTACTCTAATTCAGAGAGATTCGGTGAATTATTGAAAGTGTCAACAGTTTGTTTGCAACTGTTTAGGTTGGAACAGAGACATGTAAGTGTAAGAACAGTGAGAGAGGCTTCACTCCTTGATTAACTGTGGTGTAATGATCTAGGAGTACTTTGTGCTGATGAAGTGCCAGGAACTAGAATTTTAATATTTAAATTACAAGTTGCCTTTATGAAAATAAATCATAATAAAGGGGATAAACAGCACTGAGATTATTACTGATAGAAATTCATGAGTCACTTTGTTGGGCCCTTTCTCTCTACTATACAACCAAAAATTGAGCTTTCCCATTATGTTGTCAAGGCTTTAATTTGTAAATTTTCCTCTACCAGTCAGGAACTGACAAAATATGATTGAGAAGGTGTTGGCAGCTATGATAGTGGGAGTCGTAAAGTGAAATCAGAATGATAGCATCTGTGATCTAAAACATTTCAGTCTTTCCTGTAAGTATAAAAGGAATTGACATCAAAACTAAACCAACCTGTTAAGCAACTATAGCTCTTCTAAGTATGTTGGTTTAAATTTATTCGTATTTAATGAATTCATATGCTATGCCACCTGTGACATGTTTAATCCTATGTGTATACCAATTAAATTCAGCACTGAACAGTACATAGTATCAGTGCAAGCAGATGGTGTGTAATAGTACAGCCTATTAGTTCCTGGCAGGACACAGTGTGGTCAAATCAGCCAATCTGAACTCTGCAGGTGAGGCCCTTGTAAGCCAGCACAAGGCCTCTGTGGCTGCTCCACGTGTACAAGAGCAGCTTTCCAGCATTTTAAAATTGATTTGGGGTCTTACTCACCTGGCTAGCTGCCTGAAGGCCACGCAGAATGAAAATCTACTCCAAACATGGCCCCATATAGTTTTGTGGCATGCAGTAATCAGACTCACGAAAGCAAAAGGTGAATACCTTTATTGTAGACCAAAGTTGTCAACTGTGGCATGGAATGCATCAAGTTAGATGACCCATTACATTAAATATAGATGTTTATGCATTATTGATTTCCAAAGATGTTGTATCCTTAGTAAAAAAAAAAATGGGTCCATCTAAGGATGATCAAGCCCATTGATCTGATTTACTGTTACATTTGTATGTTCAATTATTGTAGCACCTGGTCAGTTCAAAAAAGATGCCAGCAACTCAGAACACAGGAAAGTTATACAGGACTGGAAAAGACCATCATATTCATGTAGTTAATCCCAGTGATAGTAATTGTTTCTGCTATTTTGTACCTGAACTTGGTATTTTCATTTTATGTGGGCACTTTCCCCAATCATTTATAATACAAAGTGTAAAACTGAAAGCATATTCACTGCATAGTTTGCAATGCAGGGATGTCCAATTTATAGACATCCAACTAACAAACACAATCCTATATAGGGGCATATTTATATCAAAAGATCCAACAATGAAGTGTTTACTTGTACTTGAGAACGGCTACTTTGCACTGTCATGTTCTGATTTGCGTACAGACTCAAAAAACAACCCGTTCAAAACATGGACCATACATAAAAGCAAATATTCTTACAAGTTTTGAATCAAAGATGTATTGAGAGACTTACAAACATTTGGAGTCAGACCACTATCATTTACAAATTCCCCTTCAAGCCACCATTCTGACTTTCCTCCGTAAGGGCATTATGAGTCTACCTACAGCACATGGACTGCAGCGGTTCAAGGCAGCAGCTCACCACCACCTTCAAGGGCAACCAGGGATGGGGAACAAAGGCCCGCTCAGCTCAGCTCATGAGATCTAAATTCCGTGAATGAATAACAAAAATTCTAAAAAGTTATTTGACTATTTTCTTAAAACGTGCAAGCAAGTCTTTTATACAGTCAGGATTAAACCAAGAGACTACAGAATGGTAAATATTACAGCCTTGTTCAAGAAAGGTTGCAAGGATAATCCCAACAATTACAGACTAGTCAGTTTAACTTTGGCGGTGGGAAAAGCTTTTAGAAACAACTATTTGGGATTAGTAGTCACATGGAAGTAGCAGGGTTGATTAGGAAGAATCAGCATGGATCTCTAAAGGGGAAGTTGTGTTCAATTAATGTTGGAGCGTTTTTTGAAAACGTAACAGAAGGGCTCAATGGGGATAACACTATTGATATGGTATACATAGACTTCCAGAAGGCATTTGAGACAGTACCACACAAAAGACTTGTGAAGAAAGTTATAGGTTATGGTATAAAAGGACAACATGGATTAAAAAGAACTGCTTGAGTGATAGGAGATAGAGGGTAAGGGATATGCCTGCAGGAAGGTGTGTAATGGATTCCTGGAGTCAGTATTGGGATCCTTGTTGCTCCTGATATACATAATAAATATATATAAATAATCTGGATCTTGGTGTATCGGGGACAATTCCAAAGCTTGCAGATGATAAGAAGATGGTAGAATTGTAAACTGAGGAGAATGACAGTGTGGAACTCGAAAAGGACATTGACAAATTGGTGGAGTGGGTGGATTGCAATGATCCTCATTTGTAACCAGAGAATCTGTGAGGTGATGCACTTTAGCAGGAAAAACACCGAAAGACAACGTAAGAGGTACAATTCTAAAGGGACTATAGGAGCTATGAGATTTGAGTGCATATATGCACAGATCATTGAAGGTGGCAGGACAGGTGGACAGCAGTTAATACAGCATACAATGTCCACTGTTTTATTAATAGGGGCATAGGCTATAAGAGCAAGGAGGTGATGCTGTACCTGTATAAAATAGTTGTTAGACCTCAGCCGGAATTCTGTGTTCAGTTGCGGGTGTCACATTATAGGAAAAAAGTGACTGCACGGGAAAGTGCAGAAGCAATTTATAAGAGCAGTTCCAGGAACGAGAAACATCAGTGTTAGGACTGATTGAAGAAATTGGGATTGTTGTCCTTGGAGAGAGGTGTTAAAGAGGAGATTTGAGATCAGAGTGGATTGGATAGTGTAGATAGGGAGAAGATGTTCTCGCTCGTAAAAGGAACAAGAACACGAAGGCATAGATTAAAAGCGATGTCCAAAAGAAGCAAGGGTGGTGTGTGAAAAAAACTTTTCACATTATAAGTAGTTAGGGTATGGAATACACTGCTTGGAAATGTGGAGGAGGCAGGTTCAATTGAGGCATTCAAGAGAGCTTTGCTAATTATTTGGATTGAAATAGTGTTAAAGGGTATAGAGAAATAGCAGGAGATTGCCACTAGATAATGATGCTCATTTGAATAGCCAGTGCAGACATGATGGGTGAAATGACCTTCTTCTATAAATATTTTTAACTTTAGAACACTGTAAATTACACTGGAAGACATTAAAATCTCAAATCCACTGCACCAGAGAAAATCATTATCAGATTGTAGATACCTTGTTTACTCATTGTGGAGAACTAGTGTACTGTGAGAGTTTCTGTGCTTGAACTTATTGGAATTGAAATAATATAACTGAGATATATAAATTTATATTATAAACACAGACATATGTTTAAAAGTGTAATACACTCAGCATCAGACGCTAAAGAACATTTTAGACAAGGAGAGATTATTTTTTAAATATTGATAGGAAGATAATTTAAAAGTATCCACAACAATCTACACACCATACCTGCTAACGCCCATTCGCCAGAGCTGTGAGAATGTCCACTATAATACAATATGTAGGTGTCATGTCTGGGTCCATCTGAAGTACGCAAGTCAAGAAATGCCTTTACTTTGGATTGAACAGTGTCAAAAGAAAAGCCGCTGGTGGAATAGTCACAACCGTAAGTCTCGATCATGTGATAGGCAAAAAACCGTTGGATGGAACTTAATATGGCTGTAGACCTTAAGTTTAGTTCTTGCACATGCTCAGGAGGGAGGAGTGTTGGCTGACCATCAGGACTACAAGTAAAAAACATAAAAACAATTACATTGAACCCTAAGTTACAGAAACAAATATTTAGCTGCTACTCTAGTCCATTTTCTCTATTTTTTTCAAAATTTGATTAGGTTACTGAATTCATTTAAATCATTTCATATGATACTTTACATAATAATTAAATTTGAAAATTCTGCTACCCATGGTAATATCTCATCTTAATGTCATATCCACTTAGAGCAACTTTGGTGGCTCAACCATATTCGCAGGATGAAAGATGGTTGCATAACTCAGAATTTTCTGGGAGTCAAGATAGCTCGAGGCAAAGAACCAGCAAGTATCAAGAGTTCTACCTCAAAAGGTGACTGCAAGCAAGGCATGAAATGCTGAAACATAGATTTTCACATGTGGGAGACACCAGCTGGTGACAAAGAAAAACCAGCCAACGCAATCCACCATGACGATTAGTGGAACTGCAGACTGACAACATGTGCCAACACCGAAAACCAATTCATACAAGGCAATGCCTTTCTCAGATTTGTCTCTTCAGCCAATAGTGCAGTGGGGCAGAGTAGATTATTGCACATTTGGTGAGTAATGAAGTTCAGCGAGAGGGGTAAATTTTTCTTTCCATCTTTATCAGTCTCCAGAAGACCAGAAATTGTAAAGCTGCGTGAGTACGAAAAAGTGACATCACAGGAGATGTAAACTCATTAATTTCTCATCTTCAATTTATAAGTAAATATTAAAAAAAGTTTAAATTATGGCAGGCCATGGGGATGCCCATTCTGTGGGGCATGGAGTTTTGTAGACAACTGCTGTGACCTGGAAGAATATATATGCAATCACTGTGGTGCATCAGCAAACTGAGAGGTACTTGGATAGCACATTCAGTGGGGTGGTCTCACCACAGAATAAGGGCATGTGTGCAGATAAGGAAGGGATGACACCCAGGCAGTCAGTACAGGAGCCCCGAGATCCTCCTCAAGAATCGTTTTTCATTTGGGACACTGATGAGGGCAATGATTCTTCAGAACAGTGCAGTAAGCAACAGGTGCATCTCAGGTACACCAGACATATGAAAGAGGAAAAGTGAAAGAGTAGTTGCAGTGGAGGGTTCATTAATTAGTGGTAAGTAGAGGTGTTTCCACATCCATAGAAGTGACTGCTGGATAGTATGTTGTCTCTCTGGTGCTCAGTTCAAAAACATGACAGGACATTCTGTGGCTGCAGAACATTCTGTTGGAGATTGGCGATTAGTCTGAAGTCATGTTTCACAGTGGTAGGAAAGGGGCTCCTGCAGACAGAATTCAGGAGCTAGAAAGGAAATAGCAAGCAGGACCTTAAAATTAATAATTTCCAATGACTCTCAGTACCATGCGCAAGTGAGTGTAGAAACAGGAGGATAAGACAGACGGATGCTTGACTGCAAAGATTTAAATTTCGGGTCAGGCTGTGAGGGAGATGGTACATGAACAACCCAGACAGGTTGCACCTGAACAGAGCTGGAATGGAGTTCCTTGTGAGATATTTTGGTAGTATTAGTTGCTTTAAAACTAAATCTACAACGGTGTGGGAACCCAGAGAGAATATTTGAGAATAATGCCAGAAAATATTGAGGGAAAGAGATAGCACGTGAACAGAGAATAAAAAGTTAATACGTTGAATCAAAGAGAAATTAGAACATTCTAAATCACTGTTACACAGTATGTACATAAATACAAAGTATAGTAAACCCGATTGGGGAGTCACAGTCACTGACTGTCATGTAGAATAATGATGCTGTAGTGAAAACAGAAACCTGGCTGAATGAAAGACAAGAATGCAGGTTAAGTATTCCTGATCAAAGGATGTTCAGAAAACAAAGGAAAGGAAGAGGGTGGCAGTCTTGGTTAAGGAGAACACCATAGTGCTGGAGAAAGGACAACCCGCCAAGGCATGAAGGACAGAATTGGTTTGGTTAGAGGTAAGGAACAAGAGGGTACAATTCCATTGCACATTCTAGTCTACAGGACAACTACCTGTGGGAATACAGAGGAACAAATCTGCAAAGAAATTACAGAAAGATGCAAACATTATACAGTGGTTAAATTGGGGAACTTTAATTATCTGAAATATAGATGGAGGTATTGAAAGTTTTAAGGGAAAAGAGGCCTAAATGGAAAGTTTGTTTCTCCTTGTGGGAGAGGACCAGAGGCATAGCCTCAGAATATGGGGTTGTCTATTTAAGGCAAAGATGAGAAGACGGGATCATTAAGTATATTCAAGGCTGAGACAGATGATTTTTTTTACATCAGTAAAGGAATCTAGGGTTATGGGGAAAAGGCAGGACAGTGGAGTTCAGGACTGTCAAGGCCATGATCTCATTGAATAGTAGAACAGATCTGATGGACTGAAGGGCCTTCTTCTGCTCCTGAGCCTTGAGGACACAAGTCATATCAGATTAAAGTCAGTAGAATTTCCTATAACCGTACGTGTCATGGCCAACAGGAAAGGAAGCACTGCTACCCAAATCGTTGACTTAACTGCTCTTCAGTTGCTGTCTGACCTGCTGTGCTTTTCCTGCCCCACACCTATAGATGCAGGAAGCACTGCTAGATTGGTTTGTGGAAATGAGGTGGACTAGGGGGAATATTTAGGGGTCACTGATCATTGTAGGGTAAGGTTTAAGATGACAGTAATGAAGGACTATTCAGACAAAGAGGAATTAACTGACTAACTGACCTCAATGAGGCAAGAACAGAGCTAGGCCAGATAGACCAGAGCCAAAGGGGAGTGGGAAAAACTGTAACAGACATAGTAGGAACTGCCAATGCTGGAGAATCTGAGATAACAAGGTGTAGAGCTGGATGAACACAGCAGGCCAAGCAGCATCAGAGGAGCAGGAAAGCTGACGTTTCAGGTCGAGACCCTACGTCAGCTTTCCTGTTCCACTGATGCTGCTTGGCCTGCTGTGTTCATCCAGCTCTACACCTTGTTATCTGGGAAAAACTGTAGTTGAACAATGTGCTACCTTCAAAGAAGAGGTGGTTTAGATACAATCAAGGTGCATTCCCTCAAAAGGGAAAGATGAGGCTAACAAATCCAGAGTTCAATGATAAAAGAAGAGATTGAAATTAAGATAAAGAAGAAAAAGTGTGCTCATGACAGATGGTAGGTAGAGAATACAACTGAAAACCAAAATGAATACAAAATGTTCAGAAGGAAGGTGTGAAAGTAAGAGAAGCAAAGAAAGATTATGAAAAAGACTAGCAGGTGATAAAGGAAAAGCTCAAAGTCTTCTATACGCACATCAATAGTAAAAAGGGGGTAAGAGGGATATAGCAATTAGTCACCAAGGAGGAGAGTTACACAAGGGGGAAGGAAAGTAGCTGTGTTATGAAGCAAGTATTTTGCATCTATCTTCACCAAAGGAAGCAAATGTTACCCAGGCCATCCTGACACAGCAGTAAACCAAGTCACTAAAGAGAGGTTCAATAATGAGTAGGGACACTGGATAAAGTGCTGGCATTTAAGAACTGACAAGGATCAGGACCAGATGAGATGTATACAAGTAAATTGAAGGATGTGACAGTGGAAACTGCAAAGGCACTGGCTATAATTTTTCAGTCACCCACCACTCGGTGACAAAGGATGGAGAATTGTAAACATTACTGCCTTGTTCAAAGAGTTTGCAAGGGTAAGCTAATCAATTACTGACTGATCAGTTTAACTTTAGTAGGGGGGAAATTTCTAAAAACAATCATTCGGATTGGAATTAATAGCCACACGGACTAATGTGGAATACTTGCAGCCAGCCAGCATGGATTTCATCATCATCATAGATCCCTACAGTGTGGAAACAGACCCTTCAGCCCAACAAGTCCACACCGCCCCTCAGAGCATCCTACCCAGACCCATTCCACATAACCCACCTCATCCACACATCCCTGAACACTACGGGCAATTTAGCATGGCCAATCCACCTAGCCTGCACATCTTTGGACTATGGGAGGAAACCAGAGCACCCGGAATAAACCCACGCAGACACAGGGAGAACGTGCAAACTCCACACAGACAGTTGCCCGAGGGTGGAATCAAACCCTGGTCACTGGCGCTGTGAGGCCGCAGTACATCATATTTAACGAACTTGCAATTGTTTGAAGTAACGGAGAGGGTTGATGATGTTAATGGCGTTGAAAAGGTCTACATAGACTTCTAAAAGGCATTCCATACAGTGCAACACAACAAATCTGAGGGAAAAGCTGCAGGTCATGGAATAAAAGGGACAGTAGAAACACGGATACAAAACTGGCTGAGTGACAGTTAAGGATATTTTTCAGTCTGAACATAGGTATGTGGTCCAGTTTTCCCGTGGTCAGTATTAGAATCCTTGCTTTTCCTGATTTTTATTAATACTCCAGATCTCAGTGTGCAGGAGAAAATTTCAAAAGATGACGCAAATCTTGGAAGCATTGTAAGCTGTAAGGAGGACAATGAAGAACTTCATAGAATATCAGAGGTCTAATAGCAGATGCTGGAACTGTATAGGACATTGGTTGGGCCACAGCTGGGGTATGGTGTGCAATTCTGGAATCCTCATCATAGGAGGCATGTGACAGCACTGGGGGTAGTGCAGAGAAGATTTACCACGATGTCGCCTGGGCTGGAGGGTTTCAGTACTGAGCATATATTGAACAGACTGAGATTGTTTTCTTTAGATCAGATGAAATTAAGAGGGGACTTGATTGAGGGGCACAGATAAGGTAGCAAGGAAGAAACTTTTCTCCTTGGTGGAGGGCTCATTGACCTGGCAGGGGGGGATAGATTTAAAAATGTATGGGGCAGGAGGCTTAGAGGGGATGTGAGGAAAAAACCTTTTTACCCAGAGGGTGGTGGGAATCTGAAACTCACTGCCTTGAAGGATAAGAGAGGCAGAATCCCTCAAAACAATTAAGAAATATTCAGATGTGCACCTGCAATGCCAACGCATACAAAGCTATAGGCCAAGCGCTGGAAATAGGGATTAGAATAGTTAGGTAGTTGTTTTTGACCAGTGCGGTTGTGATTAGCTGCAACAGTGTACGTGCATACCAAGGTCCTCTTCAAAGGATATTGATGTTAGTGAAGTTTAATGTGGACAAGTGTAAGGCGGTACAGTCTGTTGGAAAGAACACAGCAAGTCAGTATAAAATAAAAAGTATTACTCTAAAGGGTGTGCAGGAACTGGGAGACTTTGGTGTACTTGTCCTTAAGTCTTAAAAGGTGGCTAAGTAGATGGAGAAAGCAGTTAATAAAGCCTAAAGTATCCTAGACTTTCCAAACAGGGGCATAGAGTACAAAAACAGTAAAGTTATGCAGAGTCTGTTAGACCTCAGCTGGAATATTGTGTTCATTTATGGGTGTCACATTTTAGGAAAAATGTGAACGCATTAGAGGGGTTTAGGAAAATGGCCCCAGGATGAGAAATTTCAGTTATTAAGATGGATTTGGGAAGTTGGGACTATTTTACTTGGAAAGGAGAAGGTGAAGAGGAGATCTGATTGAAAGTTTCAACATGAAGGCTCTGGACAGAGTAGACAGAGAGACATTATTCCTGCTTGTCAAAGGATCCAGAACAAGAGGGCACAGATTTAAAGTAATTTGCAAAAGAAGTAACCATGAGTTGAGAAAAAATTTTTCAGACAGTGAGTGGATCAGATCTGAAATGCACTGCTTGGACATGTATTGGGTAGTTTTAATTGAGGTATACAAGAGGGTGGAGTTGTTGGTTGGTTCGCCGAGCTAACTGGTTTTCATGCAAACGTTTCCTCTCTCTTCTAGGTGACATAATCAGTGCTGCGTAGCCTCCGTTGAAGTGCTGTTGTTTCGTCCTGCTCTGAATTTATATGGTCCGGTCTGTCATGGTGGGCAGTCTCGTTTTTGGTTTTGTACCATAGTGGTATGTAGATATGGGCTATTTCAACGTGTTTGTAATTGCATCAGTGGTTGAAAACCAGGCTTGTCTTTGTCTCGCTTGTCCTAGTACTGTAACTTAGTCCCGGTCAAACTGATGTCCTTTATGTCAGAGTGTATTAGAACGAGGGACAGTTGGTCAGCTTGACAAACCAACCAACAATTCCACCACAACCCAAGCTATAGATCTTCGTTAAAACATTAATTCAAGAGGGTATTAGACGATCATTTAACCAAAAATAGTATGCAGAATCACACAAAAAGGGTGGAAGAACGGCACCACATCAATGATTTTCATTCAAAGATGGGCTGCAGATTAGATCAGCCGAATGGCTTTCGTTTGCACCACAACAATTCTGTAATCAGCTAAAGAGTACCCTATCCCTAATGGATTTGATCTTTCTAAAGCAATCCATTAGTTTTTGATCAATTTTGATAAACAGTTAAGAAAAAGATATGGATGTTTAAATGTTACATACTATAATAAAGTGAAAGCTATCTGGCATAGTAGTGCAGAGAGACAAGCATTATGATTACAAGTTTACAAACAGCAAATGCATTGATCCTGTTAGAATAGTATGCCTGCCGCAATTGCAGCTCTTAATACAGAAAGATACCTGCAGTAATTTGTAGGAATTACAATGGCATATCCTACGCACGTTCCTCCTAAACAGTTACCCAATTCATGGAAAAGACCATGAGCTAAGGATTCCAACGGTAAAACAATGAGGAACACACTCATGAATGACCCATTCGTTGGCTGTAGAAAATAAAAAATAAATATTTCATTTTATGAGTCAGCACATTTGCGATGAACAAGGTTAAAAGGGTTAACCATTTATATCATAAATCACAAGATATTAAACAAAAATAAATTACGTTTCATTATAAATCAGCACTTATTCTCTAACCTTTGCAGCAGTAATACAAATGCTACTGGAAACCTTAAAAAATGTCCATTATCCCCCCAGAAATTCCCCAGCCCACCACTAAAAAACAGCATCTGACTCTGGTACCCCAAGTTATGTTCTTTCCATCCATCATTGCAGGGTGACACCTGGGCCATTGTTACAATTCTTTCTTGACTGCAGGAAGGTAGGCTGTTACAGCAATAAAACTGTATAATTATTGTCCAATAATTATATGAAAGCCACAACATGTTATTTTAGCTTATTTAGGTTTTTTTTAAGAAAACAAACAAAAGCAGAATAAACAACAGTGACAGAGGTTTTGCCACTGATATTGCAAATTTCAGAATTCATTTTTATTTTCAGGTCAAAATTTAGTTTCTTTTGAGAAATAAGAAAAAAAGAAAAATTATGAAATGTGCATTACTGTTTTTGAAGTATTATCCTCACTGCCTGCCTTGTTTTCTTGTTCAAAGAATTCCTGGTGAAATGTTGTTCATCTTATTTTTACCAATTTTCCTGCTTTTCCTCAGGACCAGGAGATAGAAACTACATCTGAATTTCCCACTATCTGGTGTTTGAGCACAAAAATGCAAACTAATCCACTGCCTTCTCCATGTCAGTGATGAGTAAATCATGCAACAGTTTTAATGTTGAAAGATCATCATACATTTGAGAGATAACTTTGAAATACACCAGAGGATGAGAGAAAAGCAGTTGTGGTGGTGAGTAGAGGGCTGAGGAAGGGCAGCAGGTAGTGTGTTGAGACTGGATAAAGCTGTTGCGGTGTTGAACATCAAGAAAAAGAGGCATGAGCAATAGTTTGGCAGCTGTAGCTTTCTATTATTTTGGTAGCTGTCATGTTCATCACCACTATCAATTTTTTTTTTTTAAGTGGTTCCCCATTTTTTTAAACTTTTGATTCCTGTTGTCATATGACTTTTTGATCAGCTCTTCCTCAGTCTTTCCCAACAGCCTGTAATTTTGCTTCTAGGATTTCAAAAAGAATGATTCAACACACCCTTTGTTTCTTCACCCCAGTGAACAAGTAAATCACTTTCAGGCATTTATGACATTTGTTGAATATTAATTGATAAAACAAAATGATTTATTTAGGTACGAGAGTGACTAATAACACACTTTAAACTTCCAGTTCCTAAAGAGGTCTTATGCAGTGCATATTTAAAACAAAATTAAGACAAAACATCTTAACAAAACATTCAAGTGTGCTTATTACTACAATGAGGCCTCTAAATAAATAAACGACTTTTCAAAACACTATGCTCTGCCTCCTTGAAGGCTAACTATTACAGGCTCTTGGTTTTAACCACAACATTTCCTTAAAAAAACGATTGTAAGTGATTATGAAGCTACCCTGCCTTTATAGACGTGTACAAGTTCACATAAAAATACATCAATAGCTCAAACTGTTAAAAGTTTATGAAAAGCACCCAGTAAACATTTGTAAATTGACTTAGTAAATCAATGCTCATGGACAAACTAATGGTAATTTCAAATATTATAACACATACCTGCCAAGAGACTGCACCCAGAACTGCTGTGGAAAATAGGCTGAAAAAGACCAACCGCTCAGAAATCAAGCAAAAATGACGCATTCCTTTGGATGCCATAACACAGTCCAGACTCTTATTATCTATTCTATGAGTATAGTAGATTTTTTGACAGTCATTGAGCTTAGTATGAAAACCCCAGAAAGTTATGAGAAAAATTATATGGCAGATCAACCAGAAGATCCCAAAGATAGAAAATCCTGGTATCATAAAATACCAACGGTCTAAGTTATTTAACTTTAATGCAGCAAGAATGAAGAATATCAGCTCAATAGCTGCTACAGGAAGAATAGAAATTCGTCTACATAGTGTCCGGCCGTACAAGTAAGGTTTCCAACGTTCAGTAACAGATAAACCACTAAAGTAAAGATCCAGTAATGGGTCACAAATTAGACGGCTGAAATAACAAGCCAAGGCAAAGGGATTAGTGCTAATTTTCAAAGATGGAAAAAACAACAGGGACGTAATCACTGCAAAGATTATCAAGTTTGGAACTGCCAGGAAGGACTTCATCCGTAAATCAACAATCAACATTGACAAAGCAAAAACAAGTAAAATAACACTCAAGCAGTTGGGCATCAACATGGCAGTGCTGGCTATAGCAAATCCAACCAGCTCCAGACATTCTGCAGATGTTAAAAGGGCAGGTTGGTGTCGGACACATCCACACACTCGCTCCACTACTGACCACAAAATTCTAATCAAAATGCTGGTCAATAGTAAATATTTGGTGGCTTCTTCTTTTGCATCAGTTTTAAATTTAGAGTTATCTATAAAACAGAGAAGACCAAGTAAAAATCCAAACCAGAGATGCGACAGACTCAAACTTGCTGCTTCCATGGAGAAGTAATAGTACAAAATACTAGCAATGCCAAGCACAAAAAGTCCCAGGATGAATATCACAAGCAATAATATATTTTCCGTTTTCTCCCATCGGACGTACAGGCCCATACAAATTGCCACTAGCAAACTTATATTTGCCAGGTAGCCAAGATATCGTATTGAGGAATGCATATTTGCTTCTCTGTTGATTTCCTCCAGTTTAGTCATTACTGCATAAAGACAGTGGCTCACACAATAACGCAGTGATTTACACATGTAATTTGATTGAAAAGGCTTTGACAGCACTTCTGGTGATTCTGCACAGTGCAGATGCCGATGATCTTCTAAGGTGCCATTTGTTTCTGTAGAACCAGGCTCACACCAGTGGGAGGTCCTACGAAAAAAACAATAACACTGTTTAAATGATTATATGCAGAAAGTGGATATGTGTGGATCAAAATGTTGAAGCAAAACTCGCACCGTTAACTGACAACTGAACTCCATATCTTTTTTTAAATCTTGTATGATCACCTTCAGATATCCATTGCTAATTTACTAGGAGCGAATCCTTTCAGTTTGGAGATTAAATGGTGATTTGGCATTCTGCATTTTGTGCAATTATATATTTCGCATAAAACTATTCCTCAAGTTTATTTTGTCATGTGATAGGATATAGCAGCACCCTTCCTACTTGCTCAATTCATATTTCAACTTGACAGATGTAAAGTTAGGAATTGTAACAATGAATATGGAGAGAAGGGTGACAACATTAAAAACTTACTAAGTTGGAGTCAATGACACTGCAATATTAAGCTTTTTAAAAACCCAGCAATTTTCATAAGTATTTAAATTCTCTTGATAAGGGTAATTAATAGATGACAATCGTATTTGACTCAAGTGAACTAATGGAGAGAAGTTTATGATTTATATTCCTATATAAAGACCAATTGTCAAAATAATGTAGATAGGGAGAAGAAATTTAAAGATTTGAGAATACAAATGATGACAGAATACTGTTGATTAAAAAAAACGGGTGATGTATCTAACAGAAAGGATATTTACAAAGATAATTAAGAACTCCTTTCCGTGAATTTGATTTCAATAACTATACGGATGTCCCATAACATTTAATAATAGCACAAAAGACAATTATTTGACATTAAAAACAAATTCTATTTTGACTGAACAAAAGCAGAAATTACTTGAAAAACTCAGGTCTGGCAGAACTGAACTGAGGAAGGGTCACCGAACCCAAAACGTCAACTCTGATCTTCTTCTTCACTTATGCTGCCAGACCTGCTGAGCTTTTCCAGCAATTTCTGTTTTTGTTCCTGATTTACAGCATTCGCAGTTCTTTCGGTTTCTATTTTGACTGATGTATTCTAATGTCTGTTAACTCAAATGTGAAGTATTTTGCAGGAGATTATTCACCGCATACATTTTGAAATGTATCCTTAACACTTCGGATGCTGTACTATTTCAACTTTCAGTATACTTAGATAAAATATTTTAAAAAAAAGAGTATCAACACATTTCTGATCTATAAAGAACTTTTCCAATACCAGAACTTAAGGAGCTGCACCTAAAAAAATGAACGAAGGACATCCAACTGTTTTCAATTTGAGCAAACATTCTAATGAGTAACTGAGTAAGAGGCATACATAAACTTAAACTAATTGATAAAGGATCTAGAGGAGCAAGGAGGGAACAATGTGCTTCAGTTTAATATTCCATACACAAGATGACAGTTAAATGATAACAATATAGGTAACCAGATATTTTACACATAACCAAAATACTATGACTGTTTGTTTCTATTATATGGCGTTCATCTCAGGTGTATGAAATAAAACAAGCTAATGCATTGAATTAATGTTTACATTTTTGCTCAGCAAACACCAGCTGTAATTATAACAATTCTCCCTTTTTTCAGTTCCCTTCCCATAATGACAAAAGTGTAGATCTGTAGTATGCACAGCAACTTTATTTACAAAAGGAAACCTCTGCACCATTGTCTCAGCGTGCCTGAATCACACATTTGCCTTACACAGAATGTTGTATTGTACAGGAAATAAGTGACTGAAGAAATTTTGGAAGGTAAACTTTGTAACTCACTGTAAATTTACTGTTCAAGTTATTTGTTAATATATACAAAATAATTAAATAGTTGTGAAGCAAGTTGGAATATCCCAAAGACTTGGAAGGCATTGTCTAAATACAAGGGATCTCCCTGAAGTGATACTGTCAGGACCTCCATGCTACTGATAGGGTCAACCATGGTGGCAAGAACGGGGTGTTGTGCACGGGGTGTTGTGCCAAACAAAATGTAAAGTCTCAATGGCAAAACTGGTGAAGGGAGGCTGTGCATCTCACCAGCTATGAAGAAAGTAGATATGAGTTGGTGTCAATCATCATGACTGACACATCACTGAAATCAGACTGCCAATCCATCAAGATTATGTGAACAATGACAGCATTTCAAGATCTCCATTTTAAACACATTTACACACAGGGTTTGGCCAGTGCCCATTTTCCATGTATTCTAGTGATGGAGCCAGGACTGCAAACCTTGGGAGGCCCCAGTAAAAAACCTGCACAGGCAGCAGATGCATGATGGTTGTTGGACTGCTGTGTTGGGATTGAAATGTCCTTTGCTCACTCCAAACAGGGAACAGGTTACAGAAGGTGCCCTAAAAATTGTCAGTCCCACATTTTCCTGGCTGGGAAACCACAGCCTGCAGATCACCACTTTTCTGATCAAGGAAAGAAGACTCTTTAAATTTTGCAACTTGAAATGTTAGAATACTTATGGATAATCTCAAGAATGATCAAATGGACAGAAGAACTGAAATTGTAATCACAACAACTACTAATACACCAAATTAACATTGTTGCCCTCAGTGAGACCCAGTTTCCGGAAGAAGGGTAGCTGAAGCAAAAAGCAGAAGATACACCTGGTGGGAGGCCAGGACTTGACAACGACCCTTCTAAAATAGACCCATTCAAAATAGTTCTTGGATGCACTACCACAGCCCCATAATTTTACAAGTGAAAGGCCCATTACACAATACCCAGAGCTTAGCTATAACCATCTTGCCACAGTCCTCAGCATTTATTCCCAACCATGACTACAAGTATCAGAAAATTGTTATGATGCAAAGAAGGCTATTCAGCCTGTCAATGATGACGACATCTGATGAAAATGTTAAGGGACGGTTTTATTACTCTGACCTCTATGAAGTTCTCATTGCCATCCCAAAAGGAAGAAAAGGTCATCCATCTAGGGGACTTGAATGCCAGGGCTGTCCTTGTGCTGCTGTCTGGAGAAGAACCATGAGAGAAATGTTACGGGTAAAGCCAGCCCAAATGGTGTCCTTCTGCTGACAGAAGTGCACTCTGTATAGTCTCATTATATAAACACCATGTTCTGCCAGTACGACAAATGCAGAAATGTATGGAGGTATCCTAGCTCGAAGTACTGGCACCCATAATGCCATTGTTCAAGTCAAAGATCTAAGTGATATCTGTATCACTTGATCCATGTGGGGGACAGCTGTCTACTGAACGGATTATCAATTTGTTTGATCAGTAATAATGTCCAAGAGGAAAAATATCAACGTCTCAGCCAGAAAGCAGCCTAACCAAAGAGGAATACCAAAAGTAGCTCATAACTAACATAGAAAGTTTTCACACATCCAAGTCAGTTTTACAACGAAGAAGTAAAATGAAGTCAGCTGTACCTAGACACCTTTCCACATCTAATCTGTCAAGCTCCCGAAGTATCTTACATGTTTCAAAAAGGTCTTCTCTCATTTTTCTAAATTCCGTTGGGTTATAACATTAACCTATTCAACCTCTCCTCATAAGAGTTGGCTCAGATTTTGTAGCTAACAGATTAATGTACAACCTGAAACATAAACAATTTTTCAAACATAAAAAAGTTTTCATTTTAAAAAGCATGTTCTTTTTTTAGGGAAACAGACTTGCATCCCTGGCTCATAAAATTAGTTTTTCAGGAGTCAGAGGTTGTGACAGAGAGGTTTAGATGTGATTTTGAACTAATATATCATTAGAAGTCAGTAATAGTCATTCAACAAGGTGCAACTTTTCAATGGTTTTAACATTGAGAGCAGCATGGAAATAGGTGAAATACATATCAAATCACTGAATTACATGTTGCTTGCATTTGCAAAATTGGCGACGACTGATCCCATGAAACAGCAGGATATTTCCGACAGCAATTTCTGGATTTGACAGCGTGCATGTCAATACTAGACACGGTTTCAGAGTGATGATGACGAACACTCTTGTTTACAGCAAGCTGGCCTGGGATTTGAGTGATCAATTTAATACTGCAAAATTATTGGAAGTTAATTTACCAAGTGTATTTTTGATACCAGAGTCTGGGTTAAAAACTGCACATTTTAGATTTTAATACATTTTCATTCCTAAATTTATTAGGCATTTTGTAAGCTAAAAAATAGTGCAACGTAAATACATATATTAACAAGCTCTGTCTCTTATTGAAGCCTTCACCGTAGATGTCCATTCTCTCCTTTCACCTTCTTGCACTGTTATCACAAATATCAAATCTCTTTACAAAACTTATAACACAAACTAGGCTCAACTTTACAAATATATCGAAAACCATGGAGTGCTCCATGTGGGAAGAAATTTTTCACTTAATTGTAGGCTTTTACTAGTCCGTCCCTTTATTTCAATTAACTTTTTTTCAAAGTTCCAAGTATTTTGAGCACTTTTCAGTTTAAAGATTGAATCATGCATTCAAAGAAAACATTGTTTTTCATATTATGGATAGCAATGTTTCAGTAGTCCAAAACATTTAAGTTGTTTTCGGTTTTTGAACGTGATCGCAATACAGTCAGCTGAGAATTATTTAAATGAGCAATTAATAAAATAATAAGAGCCCATCAGGTTGATAATGAAAAGGTTTTTCCAATGTTGGTATCTTCAAAGGGACCATGAGAACCATATTTTTCAGTTTGTTTTACAAAATGGATGCAAACCGTTATCAGGCATACTTGGATAATGCTATCCTTATGCAAAAAAAATTCTTAATTTGTTAGCTGCAGTTTGAAAGTCACATGGGTTCAGCACAAACATAATACATTAAATTTGGAAATGATGATATCTACAAAACCCAGATGTCTCAATGGGAGAACAGTTGTGTAACACGCGATTTGTTCTAGTGGAGCCAGTCTCAACCAAAACAATAGGGACGCTACAACTGGCCCTTCTGGGAAGTATACCAAATTTACAACTATAGATCATATTGAAGTGTATAACTGCTTGATGGGTGATTGTTGGAATTGAGAGAAACAATGTCCTATTTGACTGAATGAGCTTGGAGTATAACCAAAACGGGATTTAAATGATTAAGCTTTCTCTAACTATACTTTTCCCATTTCAATCCATTTTGCTGTATGGTCTTGTCTGACACCAACTTTGCATGTCTTGATTTGTCATTTGACTTGTAAATCAATCGAGTCATATGGCTACCATCATTAAAACTAGCGTGCTTTGAATATATTTTGAAATGCTGTTCAAAAATCTGAAGTGGAACTGCAGTGTGAACTCATGCACCACAGAACATTCTAGGACCTAAACAATAACACCTTTCATGTTTTCCATTGCTCAGCTATATGATAACCCTAATTACATGATTCTTGTGGCATTATTTTGAAGCCCTAAATGACACTGTAGTAGCAGCTTTTCATAAAGTAATCCCATACTATTGAACAGGTGACTTTTCATTAACAATCCCTCAGCAATCATTTATTCTGTTCAGTGCAAGAGAAATAAAACCTCCACGGTATCACTATACATTTCTCCACATTCATGCAGCAATTAAACCTTCTGGTATTTAATTTTATTCCTCATTTTATACAATTTTAAAGAAATATTTGCTGTTTACAAACACCTACATCTGATGTCTGCAGGATCTCCACGCCTTCCTTCACAACCAGAGATCACGAGATTTCAACAAGCCATCTTTATATTAGCACTGGCTGGGAAAAGATATGTAGCTAGTATTACAAGCAGGTACACAGAATTAGTAATCTACAACATGAACTACATAATGTGGTAAAACATCCCAAGACACATCACATGAGCATAATTAAACTTAAAGAATGACACATGTCAAAGGAGACACTGAACAGGTGATCAAAAACTTAATCAAAGCTGTAGGTTTTAAGCAGTGTCTTAAAGAAGCAGAGTCAGATGAAGTAGTAGATAGGTTTAGGTTTGGGAAGGGAATTCCAGAGCTTGAGATCTACTATACTGAAGACAGAATCAACAATGGTAGGGTGAAGGTGGGAAATGTACAAAAGGCCAGAGTTACAAGAAGGTAGAGTTAGTGGGGAGTAGCCTCTAAAGGTTACAAAGATTAGGAACTGGCAAGACCGCAGAGGAATCAGAATGAGGATAACATTTTAAAAATGTTGTGTTAATGTATTAGAAGTCAGCAAACAAGATTTGGTGCAGGCTAGAATTTCAGCAGCATAGATTTGGTCGAATTTAAATTTATTCAGGGAGGAAGATGGGAGATGAAAAAGAACAGTAAAGAAATATGAGAGTTGGGAGGTAACAAAGCGTTGATCGGGACATCAGCAACAAACAGACTGGGAGAGAAAGGCAAGTGATGTCATGGAGGTGGAAATCGGTGGATTTTTATGCTGTAGACGAAATGGTTTTGCAAGCTCGGCTCCAAATAATACAGAACATAGAGGGGGCAATCAATCTATTTGAACCTGACATTGTGGTCAGGGAGGACTTGAAGCTATGGACTAGGAAGTTAGGGGTTTCTGGAGTAGGACAAAGACAGTGGCAAAGTTCTCAATTTCACAACAGCAAATAACTGATTCCAGCCGTTCATTATACTTGGACTTTCCCAGAAAATGTTCATAGAATTTTACACAGTGCCCTCTACAAATGATCAAGTACTTGCCTGACTAGGCCAAGCAGATATGTACAACTTAACTATTTCAGTTGAAGAACTGTCTTGAAGAATTTGTAAGCTAGTTAGTTTCAGTGTCAAATCAAGTAGAGAAAGCAAAATAAAGAGAAGATAGATGGGATTGAGAAGGAGAAAGAGATAGAAAGGAAAGGTTTAAAAAATTACATCTTTTAAAATGTCTGATAACAATTAAACATTAAGTGAATAGATGCTATACTTGCTAAAGATCCTTTTCAGTGCCAAAGAATTATAAGAAAGTAATTAAACACTTTGTTACATCAACAAGTAATTTACACTGGAGCTAACTGATTCATATACTGATATCCATACACTTATTTGGACAGCAAATAACTTTATGGTTACAAAGACAAAATGGTTTTATGGTAAATCTATTTAGCACAATTATCCGTTTCCAACTTTCCCTTTCCAGAAACTAAGCCTCTCTGGGGAGAACACAGCATATTTTTTAAAAAGAGGTGTCTTTTTGCTGGAATGGCTATTACATATTTTTGCTTTGAAATCACGATTCAGGCATTTTATGACATACCTCAGGAGTAGGTGGGATTTGTACCTGGGCCTTCTGGCCAAGAGCACAGCCCTTGATACTTTCTAAATCAATCTGCTCATAAATTTTATTAAACATGCATGGAACAAATGGGACTTGAATCTAAGCCTCCTGGCCAAGAGATAGAGATACTACCACAGTGCCATAAGCACACCCAGAACACAGCACTTGTAGATATTTTTAATCAACCTGTTGAGATATAGACACACCTCCAGCAAGTGGGCCTTGAACCTGGACGTCCAGGATCAGAGGCAGAGACACTACCACTGCACTACAAGTACCTCAGAGAGCACGATGGAGTTCAAGTCACACATGTGCTGAACATGGTGATTACAAAATATTTAAGAACTCAGCTCTTTCAGTTTAAATTAGTATTTGTCTATATCAAATTACAATTTAGAACTGGAGCTTCTGAAAGAACCATTCAGTCTTTCCTGCCCTGTACCTTTCGTCAAACTTTATTTTGGCTTCATGCCTCAATGTTGGATCCCTAAAAACATTTTTATTCACAATGGTTTTATCCAGGGGAACGCCAGCAGAGTATCTTGTTGGCATCAGGGGTTATGGTTGCGCACTTTCACAAAGGATTTGATCTTGGACCTCTTTGCCATTTCCAGAATTAACAAGAAGATGGCCATGTAGGTAACAATCCATACCAGCTATAAGAGCATGTCTGCAAGGTTTGTTAGAGGTCCCATCATCGATGTTCTTTACAATGACATCTGTGCGTCCAGTGTAGTATCCACCAGCACAAGAACCTCTTTCCAGCTTTCATAAACATCCCCATTTTTGGCTTGGAGTATCACCTGCTCTTAAGTTACACTGGAGCTGTCCTGTTTGATTGTTTAAAGGACCTAAGTTTCTCACTCTGACACAAACAAAAGCAGCAACTCGGACATCAAATTCTTAATTTTCACATTTAACCACCACCTGCAGCCGTAAGACTTTTCTGTCCAATTTACAATTTAATAACAGTGAGTGATAATAAGTCTGTAAGTGAAGAAACTTTATTTTCTACTCACAGCATGGATGACTTGCCTTAAAAAGAGCATTTCACATTCAGCTAAAATCAATGCTGCTGATGATACATCTTTAATTAGTCTTTTGGGAGTACAGAACTTGAATATTACTGAGAAGAAATATTTTGTTGCTTCTTATCATGCACTCATCAATTTTCAAGAATACTAATTCAAGGGGAAAAGCAAGATTTGTACTATACAAGAAGAGAGTGTGCATTATTTGGCAAGTGGACTCTGACTGGTCAAGGCGCTTCCACGAAAAATGCACCAAATATAGGTTGCCACTTGCTCACCAGAGTCTATTTGTCAACCAATAAGCATTCCCCTTTCATAAGTATACATATTATCTTTGCGCTCGAATTGTTATTTTAGCAATTTATCCTGTCAAGTGCAAGACAAAAAGCTTTGGAAAAAAATATATCTTTTTTAAACATTACATCTTTAATTCACAGTTGACAGCTGTGAATGTATAAAATCTGGCTCTCAAAGCCATGATAGGCAAATTCCCATAGATAGAGAGGCATGCACAGTTTAGTTTACTTTGATGAGTTTACTTAAGCTTCTCCCCACTTTGGAGGGACCAGATACAAGTAAAGTGATAGCCTTAATATATTCAGTGCAGTCACTGAAAGTTGCACATGGAAATTTATAAGTAACAATCTAATTCTGTTCTTCAGGACCAATAATCTATTAATTACTGCAACGAATTACAGAAAGAGTCAAAACATTAAGATAACTGTTTCACATATATACGTTATTAAAAAGCAAACACTCAGAATAATTATTTTGGTTCCAGTGAAGGAAGGGTCGATGGACTCAAAATACTAACTCTGCTTTCTCTCCACAGATGCTGCCAGACCTGCTGAGTTTCTCCAGTTTCTGTTTTTGTTTCAGATTTCTAGCATGTGCAGTTCTTTGTTTTATTATAGAAAAGAAAGATAACCTGTTTTAGTGATGTCGCTTCAGGGAATGCGCTCTGCACACTGATAGAGCTCCTCTGCTCCTCTGGTACAGCAGAATCTTTATTATCCGTGAGTAAGCACACAGAACCTCAATTGAACATCCAATAATGCAGCACTCCTTCAGTAATGCACGAAAGAGTTTAGATCATGTTCAAATACTACAGTAAGCCTTAAACGTAAAACTATTCTGATCTGGTGAAAACGGTTACCACCAAACCACAATGCTAAGTATGTACTTACGAAACCAGTGCCAGATTGCCACACGTATAGCAAAACAGTGGAAACTTCCACAAATGTAAATAGAATCCTGAATCTCAAAGTCTTGGCAGATGTATAGCCACTCAGACAGGAAATCTGTACAATTAATCACCCATTAACACACCATAACCTCTACAGTTCAGAAGGGCCTGATACCAGTGGAAAGTATCCTTAACATCAGGCAACAGAAGCAGAAAATGTTACAAATACTTAGCAGTCAGGAATCATCAGTAGAGAAACAAAGTTAGTTAATGCTTGATGATGGTCAGAACTTCAAAAAATCAGAGATAACCTATTTTAAGCAAAGAGAGAGAGGAGGAAATGGGGGACAATGGGGAAGAACAAAAGGGATGGTCTGTGATCAAGTGAATTGCAAGAGACATTTAATGAATAAAGGGATGATGGCTGAAGGAAACAACTGATGTCCCAAAAAAAATTAGTGGCAAAAGTTTTGATTTGACATTGATGGATTTTATGTTGAATTCAGAAGATAGTAAATTGCATAACTGACAGATATTGTGCTTCAAATTTACATCAAGCATCCCGAGAACACATTGGGAGCAGCAGTCATGACCAAAAGAGCTGGAGTTGGATTGGGACGGAGAATAAAAGGTAGCCAGGTGAATTACGATTCAAAGTGGTTGCCAACTGTCAATACCACAGCAAACCTTTCATTTATTTGAAACACCGGAAGTCAAGTTTGAATTGGCCTGTACAGAGGTAATATTGCTTCAGTCCACACAGCTGCTCCCTGACAGTGCTGCTGGTCTCAGAGCAGAGATGTCAGGGTACAATCTAAACACTCAACGTAGGGCTGCACTGTTATAGCACTTTTTTTTGCAGACAAGATGGGTTTTCTTTTTAGAAAAAGACGTTAAACAGAGTTCCTACTTGCCCTCTGAAATCTACCTGACAGTGATGAAGCAGAGGAGGGTTCTCCCTGACAAACTGGTCGATATTTAACCCTCATGTAACATCACAACAAACAGTTTACAAGCTATTTTGGGACCTTGTGGCCTTTTGGTATTTTCCACATTACAACAGCGGCTGTACTCGGAGTTGTACCGTCAAACACTTTGGGAGAGGAGAAGCGCTTCCTGACTGCGAGTTTTATTTTCCAGGCTTAGAACCGTGGTAGGAATCACATTTCCTGCCTCCAGTTTAAAAAATTAAATCCCGGGTATGGTGGCTGGAAGCTGGAGGCTGGAGGGGGAAGAAGGTGCCTGAATATACAGAGAGTTGGTGGGAGGCCTGTAGGGAGGAGAGACAGCCCGAGGGGCACACTCGGCCCGGCTCAACCGGCCGCTCGGGTAAATATTACACACAGGGACTGGGAAGCCGAGCCGGCCCCAGCGCTACACCCTCCCCCTCCCCGCCGCGGTTACCTGCCGGGGCTGAGCAGCTCTCTCCCTCTGTCGAAGAATGGTGTCGGTAATCCCCCCCAAACCCCCAACAACCGGAGACTCAGGGGGAAGGACGAGCGAGGGACCGCCCCCTGGACGGATCCCCCTTCAGGACAAAAGGCGGCAGCAACGCGAGGATACGATTACAGCCAGCACCACCCCCCAAAAACACACACACACACAGCCAGCACCACCCCCCAAACACACACACACACAGCCTCCCCCACCCCCCAAAAACACACACACACACAGCCTCCCCCACCCCCCAAAAACACACACACACACACA